GTTACTCTTACTCACGAGGCCATAACGAGCCTTTTGATTTTCCTCATTTGTCCAAATCCTATCAGCCGAGTTGAACAAAATATAAAAGAAATACAACGCATACCCTCACGTTGAAACAATGATGTTTTTTCTGTTTTACAAAAATACCTAACTAACGAATGCATTCCCCTTTGTTCCGGACTTCTGAGATCAGTGTAGAGAGGTGTATATATATAGTTTTAATTAACTTATGTATTATATATCTAGGTTAACTAAAACTACACTGCATATACTATATACTACGTAGAGTTCAGTTTTAATTAACTTTATGCTCTATGAAGTACATACATTTCCTTTAATACAAATATAAAATAAGATTAATAGTTTTTTTTTTACACATCATGAAGTCATGTAACAAAATTATAAACATGTAAATGTCTATATTCTAGAGTATATAGATTTAATAGAAACTTTCTTTAAGTAATCAATTGTAAAACTATAAACAATAAATACTAAATAATAAAAAAATTTAATTACTTGAGGTCGCATTCTGATATTTGTGGTGACGTATTAGACTACAAATTATTACGACGGCTTCTCTAATTGATTATTGTATCTACTTTCATTATGGGTCATATGTATTCTTCTAATGGTCAAAGATACGATTCTACCGCCGACCTGTACAAAAACAAGCACAGCCGTTCCATATTTTATTTATACTACTTACAAGATAGATGGGGTAAGACAGATAGGTACAAAGAAAATTTTATCGCTGCAATTCAATGTTTCTTTATTTTGTTAGATTTCCTATCACGTAGGTAGTAAATAGAGGATCAAATCGCCAATGATGACAAAAAAGAACGATAAAATAGGGTTTTATCGTAGCATAAAAGCGTCGCCCTTACCTAAAAGTGCCGAATGTAAAACTCAACTTATTCAACGCCCAGCATATACCTTAAAAAAATTATCAAATCATGTTAGGATAATTTATTATATATTTTTATTGACATCGCTTTTTGCTGACGTTATTACCAATAGTTACTGTAACTTAATCGACCCTCGTCTCTCATCTCGATTACATGACGTAACAAAAATAAATAAATTGGTGGATGGCGATGATGTTACAAATATCATATTACGCCGTATCACATTATAATTTAACGATTATTATTATTATCTGTTCTACAAAGAAACCAAAATTCTACTAATGAAAATATTACTAACAACATAAGAGACAATACTGATTTGAAAAGAATCATTGAAATCCGAACATATTTGATATGATATAACACAACTCCAACTTCATAGAGATAGGTTGTTGGGTTGAATATGCTTATGGAATTTAATTTACTAGCCTATTTTGCAATGGCGTTTTGTCTTATTTTTGTAGATAAAAGATAACCTACATATGTTCATTCTCATGGTGATAGATGTATATGTATATCATATCTTCACATAAAATTTCATTAAGATTCGCTCAGAAATGTATAATACACATAACAAATATATTTTCGCATTTGTGATATTTGTATAATATAATGTATTTGGACAAATGTTATACAATAAATCATACAAATAGACATAAGAACACACAAAATTATCGGTACTAAAATATTTATACTATGAGGATTTAATTTTTAACAGCTTTTATTTTTTTAATCCTACAGAATATTACATATAACCTTCTTTATCGACATAAAGAAGGTTATATATACCTAATATTCTGTGACTTATGAACTAAAACTGATATTTTTACTGATGATTTTATATACATATATATATTATACTTAATACATTATTACAGACATTGTTAAATGATGTTAAGAGATACAAGAAATATTTATCAAATAATATTTTTATATGGAAAATGTTTTTCGACGCTGTAACGTTTACTGTCACCTAACCAAGGGGTTTCCGATCAACAAGTTCGACTATGAGCCGTCAATAACTTTATTAGACACTGTTACGTATCAATAAACTTGGTCTACCCCAAGTACAATGCTCACGAAGTGTGTTTCATAACTATATTATTGGCATTGTCTGCATTTTGTTGATTCAATCTGTGTTTAAAATTTAATATTTCAACCTTCGAGAGTCACAAGTACTTAAATGATATTTTCTTCTATTCACTTTTCATTTTTACGTTTCACAGCCGTCAGTTGCAGGTGGACCCACAGATCATTAAGGCGATTTGTAGAACCTCCGCACCGCGCCGCACTGTACAATGTAATAGGCGCCACGCGACTCTTTCACTCAACGCCAGTGACAGAAATAAATAGAATTCTCATCAATATTTTATAATGCGTTGAACATTACACAATAAAGAATCAGAAAATTTTCACGGTCGAAATATAATTATATACCTATATTACTGATGACTTAAATTTTGTTTATCTACATGTATTAACTTACTAGCCGATTTCGTGACTTGTACTTACTACTATTAAGTTTGTTTGTAAATCGAATTGGAATAAAACAAACATAAAATTTGAAGTGTAGCTGTATTTAAGGTTCTATTACGTTGACAATATCCTCCTATAATTAGTTTCGTCATGTATTTATCACGTACAGACAGCGATCGGGTTTATTTTTTATACCTATATGTAGATTTGGAATAACTATAGGTAACAAGTTATTTAGGTATTACTCTACAAACAGTTGAGAGTACTTCTTATCCGTCAATGACATTGACCTTAATGTTACAAATGGAGTTATAACTGAAACTAGTTTCAGCTTGATGTCCAAATAATTTAAAGTAAGCCATAAAATGAGTAAAGCGGATTGTTGTTACGCAATCATGACAAAAAGCTTTAGTGTGTATTTTGTCGAGGATAAATGTTGTGCCGATCACTGTTGGAGTCACGTAGCGGACTATGATTTAAATGTAAAACTGGTGATGCAAATTACGGCGGTGTAGTCCCGGGACGAAAGTTGTAAATAAATTGTCCATGCTCGTATAGCGAGCGTAGTGAGTGCGCCGATCGATAGCGCACTAATGAGCCGTGACGCGCTGTTTCGCCATATGTGAATTGTGATCAACCACACGTGGGACACGCCGAGCACTGCTCCCGCTGACTGCTAACTGAGTGAGCTTCTCATGTACCTGAATGCCAATGAGCACCCTCCCAACAATTTATTCCACTTTAATTATGCGTCCTCTAATTTCTGTAGTAGCGCCACTATAATGAACTGAGAAATGGTATATTGCTAAATATTTGCATATTTCATATAACCTTTTTTCTCTACTAGCTGTTGCTAAGCACTTCGTCTACCTACTATTTTTGAGATAAAAGATAGCCTATGTCCGCTCTCGTGACACAATCTGTTTTCACGTCACATTATCCATTTAGCTGTGTTATCATGAAAAGGTAACAAACAGAACGACACATTTACGTATTTTTAACATGGATAGTAAAAATTTTTGTCATTTTGTAGTATGTTTGTTTGTCATTCCTACTTACTCTCTCTTTATTTAGTTTAGTAGTAATATTTATATATTTTTTCCTGTAAATGTACGAGTATATACCACGTACATTTCATATTCTTACACCCACATCGTTATTATTATTCAATAATGGCTATTATTGAATATATATTTATGTTTAATAATAAGAAGCCTAATTTTAACCTTTATACTTAGAATGGATATCAAATAATGCTAAATAGAATCTAATAAATTAAAAATTTACTGTTTTGTCTGTTATTCTTTCTTATGTGAATTTATATGTGGGCATTATTTAATTATAAATGTAGTTATGTACAGACAGTAATGTCGTTTTAGTAGGTAAATAGTTACCAAGCTAAACTGACTCAATTTGCTCCCACAGCCCGTGACCGTCGCGTCGGTATTTTGAAACAGCATTGCATTCATTATTGTTCGGTCTCTGCGTTAGATTAATTTGATGGTTGAATGTTGAAAAATTTTATTCAAAAGATTATTTATGCAAATTTACTTTTGCCATAACTTTATAACTAGTCTATTGTAACGCGATTGCTTTAAATTTGAAACCGATTTTGATTATTATTTTTCAGATTAATGTCTTGGATATTATGTTTTTTAAAAATTGTTTAAACACTATACTAATACTCACCAACTTTAATGTACTTTTTTTTATCCACAACTAAAATAGAAGTGCTTTTCAGTAATTGTTTTTATATTCACCTCTATTACTGTGCTCTGATATAATAACCGTCATAAAGTCATATCACTTTTCTTTAGTATTACTGGGATTGAAAACCATTAATTTGCATGTAGTTTGGTTTAAGATAATGAAATAAAATATTAATAATAATTACTTTTAAAATAAATTTGTACTACTTAAATTATATTGAGGAATCTGGTAACTGTAGTCAGCAGTCTCGGCCGAGCGTCGGCAACGCTCGGCGCCGGCCTCCGCACCACATTACTCAGCCGCTATCTGATGTCGTCTGCTAATTGACTAGAAATACAGATAAACGCTATTTTTATACCCTCATAAATCTTCAAATAACTGCGATTTGCGGATCTGTGTTTAAATGTCATGATAAAATTGCGGTAATGTCGGACTAATGTTTCCTATTCCGACTTTTATAGAATATCTACATCTACTTCGTAATAATGATTGATTATTAGAGAACAGCATATAATCTGTTCAACTGTACTGATCAATAACATTTAGTAGCTGATAGTGGTAATGTAGGCAGCTATATTTGCCAGAATAAAAAATACACGTATTTTAAATAATTAGATGTTACTTCAGCATGTCAAATTATATTACAAATTCTATTAAATACAATATTATCAAATATCAATAGTCTACAAAAATTCTAAATTTGTAACTTTTTCTTAAAGAATATTAATTTGTTATTGATAACATACAATTGTGTGGAAATATTATCGAACTTGACGTGGGTGTCGTATGGATTGGTTGACTTCAGGATAATAATGGTTTATAAACAATATTACACCACTTTTGTAATCGTAACGTTGGTTGCATTTATGAAAATTAGTTGATAAAAAATAAAGAAAATAAAACATGTCATTGAAAGGCAAATTTTATTCATGGTCCAACGTATACTCAATGAACGGACCCATTCAATGTAAAACTTCGCATAATTATACTTGATTAGATATATTACAATATTTACAAATGGATACATAATAATTGAACACCGAGGGCAGTTAGCTACTCGCTAAAAATGCGAAGGCGGTCATCGTGAGTGCGAAGTGTGGAAGTGCCAGCGCATATCCTAGGCGGACAGCGCCTGCGCCGGCGGCGGCCCGGGCTCTCGCATTGCCACCAGACTCGCCGCGACATGCCGCTCCTGCAGCCGCTGCGCTAGCCAAACTACGCCCTCGCACTTTTAATGGCGATATGCAAAAATTATCCTCCGCAAACTCCTGTGTAAGAGCCAGTGGGTTTGCTAGAGGATCCCGTCCGCACTCACAAGGTAAATGATTACCTCGAATCACAATATCCTCCACTTCTAACACCACGGACTCTGGTGTCTCTAACATATGATTGCCTGTTAATTTGAACGTTGTGACGCTGTTATTTTGTACTAATGACAACTCCTCGACAGCGTCTATTTTGTTATTGCACATTTCAAGTATTTCAACACGCTGCAGACCATCAAAAGCGCCGACTCTAACAATTCCTAGGTCAGATTCTCGTAACGCAAGACGTCCAACACGTGTCAATCCCCGAAATGTATCGGACAATACTGCTGGGAGGTCCATATAAGCTAACTCCAGTGTACCAATTCCTTCTAGGCCTGCAAAAGCCAGTGGTTCGATCGATCTGATTCCCGAGGGAAGTTCTATTTGTACGATATCTTTGAGTCCCGAGAAGGCGTGAGCTAAAATGCGTTTTATAGGATTATTCCGGAGTGAAATTTGCTTTATAAAATTGGTTCCAGCGAATGCATACCCTTCGATTTGCGCTATTCTGTTATGGGTCAGAATGATAGAGCTGATGTTCTGAAGTGCAGCAAAGGCGAACGCATCGACAGTGGCGAGAGGTGTATGCTGTATGTATAGTTCTCGTAGGCGTGGTAAACCACGAAAGGCGAAAGGCCGTATACGCGTCAGGTTACAAGCGTCAAGTGCAAGTCGCCGTAATTGCCTCAAATGTGCGAACGCATCCGAACGAAGAATACGTATATCTGCACGTGAGAGCGACAGCTGTGTCACACTTGGGCTTAGCGCCGAAGGCACACCGCGGAGCGTTGCACTATTGCACACCACCTGAAACATAATGCAATTGTATTCCTTCTTAATTAACTAAATATACTAATTAAATTACTACTGTAAATATACTAGAGATAGAAAATTGTTCACATGGGCACTTTTTGTGTCATTAATACAGCTTGTTTTGCAAGCTACGAGTATATTTCTGTTGTTATGGATTATATGGCTGTAAAATTACTGGGTATAGATATGTGTTACTAATTTCATTAGACCTTTGCTATGATTATGGAAATTAGTATATTATGTCATGTTCATGTTTATTTGAGACCACTTCCTAATAATACCCTTCACCTTTCAAAAAAATTATACTTACAGTTGTATGGAATACAAATAAGTTGTAAAAAAAAGTCGTTATAAATACTGTTATGGCATTTTATTATTACACTAATAGAAAATTCGTATCTGAAATAGAAAAAATATCCCCAGTTTCGCTATGTCACGGACTAACCATCGCCTCCGCAGTTTGGCCCGTCAATAAAACTGATCCTCAAAATATCCCTGTTGACATACGAGCGTACCGTTCATATTTTGATTGAATTGCTCCAAACTTAAGCTTCACAAATAATTAACTAGTACAAATACCAATTTCATCAGCTTATTCATATACAATCTCAATGTTGACAGTACAGCTTTCATTCCATTCGATCATTCTCATTATACTTTTACACGTAAAGTTATATAGCTGTATTTTGTGGCTTTATCTGTACGGAAATAAATTACTACGCGTTGTTTATTTGTCTTTATATGTATAAAGTAATATATACTTTATAATTTGACGGCCTCAGTGGTCTAGCGGTTTTGCACATCGTCTTACTTCCGATGGTCGCGGGTTCGATTCCTCACACGGCGCAAACATTTGTATTCATGAGTATGATTGTTTGTACCCATAACACAAGTTTTAGGTAGCTTAACTTGGAACTAGATGACGCTGTGTATGTCACACAGCGCCATCTAGTCCTGAGATTACTATTATTATTCATGTAAACTCACTATGGCATTTTAAATATTATACTACAGCTATGAATTGATGAAACGGTTAAAAAAATAGGTGCTTGCCCTTTCTTCTCAACTGAAATAAACCTAGTCGATGGACAGTACAGATTAAATAAAATAGAAAAAAATGATATATTGTAAAATTTTACTTTGACTGTGCTGAATACTCCAATGTCAGTTAATAACAATAAAAGATTTAAACCTGTGATTGTGAAAGACATATGCAGTGCGTGGGACAGGGCGGCGCCAGTGACGGGGCCATTGCCGTGTGTCCTGCGCCACACAGCGTGCCCATCATCGTCACAGCCACCAGATACTGCATCATCCATCTGGTGAATACAAAAATCATCAGAAAGTTCATATTGCAAAATTTCTATTTGAATATACTGTCTGTTGCAAACATGTCAACGAAAGCATGTAACATGCAGTAAAAATTTTAGATTTTCAAAAAGATAGTTAACAACAGCAGGTCAACTTTAATCTGTATCCATTCATTTATTATTTTGCACTAAACATATTTAAATTTATTAGACACAATGAGAAATCCGTGGCCATGATGTTAAAAAGGTTCAAATCTGGGCGAGGACAAAAATTCTTTGTGTATTGTAATAATTTATATATTTCGGACTGCCTCTCCGGTGAAGGAATTTCATGTTTCCTTCACCGGAGAGAGATTTCTTTCAGAAATAAATGCAAGAATAGTTAGTAGGTTAGTTAGATTAAAATACCCAGCGTTATGTGGGTAAATGAAATGATCACAATATCGAGAGTAGGCTTTGCCTCTAACTCCATCTGGTATAACAGTCGTTGCGATATGTCATTTATTCCTCTAATTCATACTATTTGCTTAGATATTGTTTAATTTGCTCATTCTAATACAAATTCCATAATAATATTACATTCAAAGTAGTAAAACGTGAAACTACTAATGAAGAGAAGATGCCTAATTAGAGGTTTACCTAAATATGAAAGCGGGAGCCATGGGCGGGCGCAGGCGAGGCGCCCCGCCCGTCGCGCGCCCTCACCTAAGCACTTCCATCACACCTCCACTGCCTGAAAACAAATATCATCTTACTTAATTATGTCTATTTATGAATGGCAAGCAAGCCTACGTCCCACCTTATGGAAAAGCACCACGAATATTACCTTGTCATGGCACTACTCATACATTCCCTCAGACTAAGAACCATGAACACCCGACTATTAGAAGTATGGCGGTCCTAATCTGCTGGACTACCGAGCCCGTTGTTATACATGCAATAAAGCATAGAATTTGAAGTTGGCTAAGTATTAGCTGTATTAAAGAATAATATGCCATAAATTAAAAATATTTACAACAGTTTATCAATTCAATTAAGGATTTGTTTTATAATTTCCTCAGAGTGTAATAAAGTATGATATAGCGCACTATGTATCACTCCGGTGGAAGTAGATTCTGTACACATGGGATTTAAAATATCAAACGTCAAACTCGTTGGTAATCTATTACTTTCTTTCCTCGCTAAACAACGTACTAGTATTGCCACAGTGAATTACAATTATACAGGAAATAAACATTGCCACTGACTGTTTTATACATTGGTATAAAAAATTTAATATAGTAATTAGCATTCCAAAAATTTAAGAATATGAAAGATATTGTGAACTCACCGTTACAAACATTTAATGGTAATAGCGACAGTATTTTTCTTAATAATAATAGTTACTATCTTCTAGAATCAGCATAGGCTGTAAATAGTAGTATTCCTATATGTATTCGTATGTGCTATTACTAATTGTATAAGGAACACGCGCTTCAGTATAAATCTAAAACTGCGAAATTTCTGCTATAGTTACTTTTTCAGGACTATAGCTATATATTATATATACAATATATTAGAATATATTAATGATATATGAAATACATCGCAGTACGCGCTCTAAACAAGCAGGCGAAGTTACGGGTTGCGAAGTGTATAAGCCGTCTTCATAGGAAACAAAATATCATCAAGTTTGTATATGTAAATGATTATTACTAAACATACCGTCTACGACTAGGACCAACTACATGTCTTTCATATGGTAAAATACATTATGTATAAGAATATAAATTATACAAACATACATAATGTGTTTAAACTTATATCTCATGATATAAGTAATTTATTAGTCTTCAGTAGAAATTTAGGTGATACAGTGACTACATTTTGTCATAATTATCAAGTGGTAGACGATATTGTACTTATGTAGAATAATAATCAGAAGGCGGCTAGACAAATGTCAGGTAATAATATTATAGATCCACTGCCATCTCCAATCCAACAAAAACTATAACGCAATAGCCACAATATTGGAAGTTCATAAAAAAGACAGTCACGGTAAATATCACATTATTATAAGGTGCTCACAATTTATAAACGACATTTTTTAAGAAAGTAAAAGTTTTTATATTTGTTTAAAAAATATTAATTCAAATATATTTAAAACATTTACATAATCCAACTAATAATTTATTATTTTATTATATATGTGTATTTATATATACACTAAAACTTCTTTAAATAACAAGTATATAATATTATATAATAGATGAATAAATGTGCTTAAAGTAATCTTTTACTGCTAAGAAAAAACATGCTTCATATTCAAGTCTGATTCAATTATACTTAGACGGAAATTGAATACGAAGACTTGATAGGATAAGATATAGCATTCTTGCCCCATGAGAACACATTCGTTCTTCTACAATTTTACTTGTAATAGGTTTCGAGCGAAATAAGACGTCACAAGACGATTAAATAATGGGAACTCTAATTTCTTAAAAAAAATCTATTATTATTTACTCTATGTCATAAAATGTAAAAATTAAAAATTTTACCGCTTGGAGCTGTCGAGTAATAACACAAGATTTAATGAAAAGAGATATGATACGAAATGCTAAAATCAAAAGGAAGCAACATAACATAACAAGTTTCTAACTATCGCAGCGGTTCATACAGACAGAGTATACTTTATTACCTTTATCTTACTTATTCCAACCGCCAAGCTGCTTTTTAAAATGTGTTTCGATTGAAGGGCATAAGGTATAATTCTGTAATTAAATTACGGTATTTAAACATTTCTTATGTAATATAAAAATATTTCAGCTATTGTATGTGCTTTACAACAATGCACTACGCAATATTTTTAAAAGGCTGGCACAGATTAGTAAAAAATATATATTATTTCGTTTTGTACTTGGCTTAATGTATTTCTAAAATAAATATTTTTTATTCACATACCGCTCGTATTCTCTACCCTAAATAGTAGATATAAAACATTCTGTTACAATTTTAATCTATATGTATTAGATTACATAATATATAAAATTGTATTGTAACAAAATATATTTTAACTAATTTCTCTAAAAGGAACAAATTCATATAACCCTATAATGGCTATACTGTATATAACGGTCTTTAACCGAGCTAATAATACTCAATTATTCAGTTCCGCGAGGCATTGTAGTAATAAAACGACAGTAACTTAAAGCGACCATAAATGGAGGCCTATACAGTTATAACCGTAGCTTCCATCGATACAAAACATCTTGTCGCTCGGTGTATAACGCTACATGCCAAAAACTTAAAATTGCAGGAGTATGTTTATCCCGAGCATGTGGAGATTCTCAGCGACGCTACGACTCCCCGGAGCGTCATTACTCTGTCCGCTCGAGACGCACACGCTTTTAAACTAAACCACGGTTAAATTGCACGCAAAAATATTAAGGATACGCTTAATTTTTTTTAAATAACCCTAGAGATATACAGAGTATGAGAACATGCATTATACTTATCGCTAAGAAGAGCTCTTAGTCTCCTAAATGTGCTTCTATATGTACTAATAAAAAAAGAGAATTATGTTTCATTTTGTTGTAGATTACAGAATATTATTTTGTCAGTTATCTATTTTTGTCACCAGTTGTTGTTATCTTGCAAGCCGCGATCTGTTGTATAATATAGTACATGGCAATAAAATTACAAAATACGGAAGGATTACAGTCTTTTCTTTACAGATTACAGTCCTTAGTCCTTAAGATTTTAGGTAGTTACAGTTATTGTCGGTCTCGGTGGTGGTAGCGGTTTAGCCGCCTTACTTCCGATGGTCGCGGGTTCAACACAAATATGATAGAAGAAATTTTTAGTTTTTTAGTTTTTCGCACCAAAATAATTTAACTTATGAAGAATATACGAGTATATCTCATGAATAGTAGATACTCATATATGAGAAACTATTTGATACATTGCTTTCGCTGAAACGAGTACAGGTAGTCAAAACTTTTCAATTATTTGTTCAATTTAACCGTTAGTATAGTTACTTTAAATTAGGGAAAGTAAACGTGCTATTTGACAGTCATGATCAAAGTTGTTTTCAAAAGAATATTTATTGCCTGTGTCATAATTTAATATACATTTAATGTCCAATAATTTTGTTTCCTTGAACAAACTTTATGCTCTGAAATTTGAAAGACAAATACTTCGCAATAAAGTTGATAAATTAAAAGGAACAAAGTTATGAAGATCGAATATAACGATTCGCAATAAGAATAAGTCCATATCAATTAATTTGTTTCTAATTTGTCACAAATTTCCAGTTGCTCAGTGTAGTGAACACGTTTAATTGGTTTCCGGTACTATAGATACAGAATGGTTACGAATGATCAATCATAGGAGTGCCGCGAATGTCAGCGGAGCTCAAAATAGTTTTTATCGTTGTCAAATTTTAGCAGAATATATAAATAAAATATTACCGAGACCTACTACAAATGTTGTAATGTTATATAGTTTAAAACTAAGCTTAGTTGTAATTATGGGTATTGATAGTATAAACAGATAAGGTTATAAGAACTAAAAAATATAATTAAGAATATTATTCTCCACCCGAGGGTTCATCTGGTTTTTTTAAATATAAACCAACCCATGTTCATGCTTGGAATTTAAACTAACTTCATGTCAAATTTCGTTAAGTTATCATCGTGAAAAGGTAACAGGCATATATATGTACATACATAAGCATTTATAATATTACTAAGGATATACAAACATAGAGTTAATATTTTTAATATTAACTCTATCTACTTCTTACTTCCAAAATTCTCCTAACGATATTACAAGTACCATTATACCATACCATTAAAGGAACGAAAGTACATATTTGTTGAAGTACGAAACTGTTTAAACATTTATCGACTTTTATCTGATCACAGGGGACAATTTTTGTATCAACATTCTGAAACTCGTTTGTGTCACATAAAAAAATATTTGCAAACATACTTCAAAGTGTCTCAATTGAACAACATAAGAAAAATGTTACATAACAGACAAAATAATATAAATACACAGATACAAGCTTTGTGAGCGATATTTCAACTTTATTTATCAAGGAAAATAAACAATTTAATGACACTTGGCTACATATTAATAGCATGATAAAAATAAACATAGACACTACAAAAATATACTTTTTATCATAATTGTAATAGCAAATATATCGTAGCTCAATTAAGCAAGTAGGTAGTAGATAGTAGTAGGTGGACTATATAAGATAATCGTTTTCGTATTCTTCTAACTAATTAACAAGTAACTGGTACGAAGGTGTAAGCGTCTGTTTCACTGAGGCATAGAGCCGAAACTGTTGTATATACAAATGTAAAATTTTGTACAGAAGTTAAAAAAAGGAACAAGCACGGGAGTAAGTATGGGAAGCAAGTATGGGATTTCTTGAAATTGATTCAAACTAATAGAATAGGAAATAGTTAATGGATATCTGCGAAGTCGCGGAACATAACATAACATAATCTATTTATCTTCACGATAGAACCCATATAGGACAGGCAGAACAAACTAAATTAAACTACACCATTCTATTATCATCAAAAAGTATGTAGTAAATATTAATATAAATTTTGAAATATTAGCAAAGATACGACTATCGAACTATATAATTATTACGCAGACAATAGCCTTTACATTCCGTTGTCGACACTGGCGCAGAGAGTTAGAACTTTAGAAATTGTGGTGCGGTCGTCTGCCCAC